TATTATTATCAATGTTGGAAACAGTTATGCTGCTTAATATTTTTGGAAACTGAGATGCATTTTTTTCAGTATTCTTTGATAAATAATAATTTCAAAAGAACAGCATTTATTTGCAGTAGAAATCTTTTGTAACATTACAAATGTCTTTACTGTCCCTTTTGATCAATTTCATGTGTTCACTGAGAAAAAAAGCATACTGAGCCCAAACTTTTTACTGGTAGTGTATTTTAACAAAATATATTTTTTTAATTTTCAAAAAGAGATGGACATTATACAAACTCTGCAGCTTTGGCATTTAGCATTACATAACCTTGTAAGCCTATCATAAAGACCCTGATGACATTAAGTTATAATCAAGCTACAGTATGTACAGTTAGGTACAGCCATCATCTGTCTGTCCAAGTATACATAACGCAATTAGTATTCAAATATTTGAAGTTTCAAATACATGTCGCACTTCATCACTGTGTTTTGGAGCGAGTGCACAATGCTGAGGCTGATTGTAGTCTGATTTATATATATATATATACAGTGGGGGGAAAAAGTATTTAGTCAGCCACCAATTGTGCAAGTTCTCCCACTTAAAAAGATGAGAGAGGCCTGTAATTTTCATCATAGGTATACCTCAACTATGAGAGACAAAATGAGAAAAAAAATCCAGAAAATCACATTGTAGGATTTTTAAAGAATTTATTTGCAAATTATGGTGGAAAATAAGTATTTGGTCAATTACAAAATTTCATCTCAATACTTTGTTATATACACTTTGTTGGCAATGACAGAGGTCAAACGTTTTCTGTAAGTCTTCACAAGGTTTTCACACACTGTTGCTGGTATTTTGGCCATGCAGATCTCCTCTAGAGCAGTAATGTTTTGGGGCTGTCGCTGGGCAACACGGATGAAGAAAATAAAGACACTGTGGCTCTATCATGAGGTTATTAGTTTGGGCATCCCAACTAGACTTCACATGGTGTTTATGGATTAGATTATATTGATTTGAACTGCCAGAGTGCATATCCAGAGCTTTCTGAAGAACACAGATCTGCATGTTCTCACAATCCGTCACAGCTGTGCCATAATCTTGTTTTGACTAACAGAAATATGAATTAATTGTTTCATTTAAACTACAAAAACATCCACTGTGTTTCTAAAGCTCAACTCTGCTGTAACGCCTTAAGCCCAGTTCAGCAAAAACAGAGCAGTGTGTTCATTCTTTCTGTCCTTTAATCACCTCTTTCATTTTTTAATGGCATTGTACAAAATCATCAAAACAGATGCTGTCACATGCTTTCTTTAAAGAGACGGGAAGTCAGAACGTCAGGCAACTTTTATGCACATGTGTGTGTTGCGCAAGTGTGTGGGTGTTTGTTCTTTCATGGCGACAGGATTGTCATCTTAAATATGCTCTAATAAAAGCAGATCTTTTCCATACATGAAGACCATCAATGGATAGCAAAACGATCACACACAGGTGTACAAACACGCACACAATGATACTGAACAGACCCAGAAAGCAAAACGAAAGACAGAAAACAGGTTTTCCTGTCTCTTCTCAAAATGGATAAATTGCAGCTTTTTAGAGATGTGATCTTCATAATCTTTGATCAGTGTAAATCATCTAATTGGCCTTTTAGTATATAATTAATGCATGTACATGTACATTTTATGTACAAGCTCAGTGTTTTTGTCCATGCAGTGGAAGTCAGTGGTCACCAAAACTTTTTAGTTTCTAACACTCTACAGAATATATTAAAAGAAGAAACAAAGTCATTCAGGTTTAAAACAACATGAGGGCGAGGGACAGAATTCTCATTTTTGTGCGAATTATCCCTTTATGCATCACTTATCTTCTGATTGGCTGTAGTTTTGTCTTATTGAGCAGCAATTTCATGTTCAGTATGGACAAACTATTGCTTGTTGCTGGAAACTTGGTCGGCACATTGTTTGAGAATGTCTACATAGATTAAGAATAAAAAATCATGTTATTCATTGTATGTTATAAATCAGCACACATGGTTACCTTTCCTGTTTACAAGCCATTTCATTTGTGTGTGTGGTTTGGGGTTAATGTGAGGGTGAGTGTGAACTTTGTGGTTAAATGCAGGGTTAAAGTCAAAGGTCAAGTGTCATTCATCATGACCTGTTTAAACAGCAGTGAAGATTTTGTACTTTGCATTTCCTGTCTGCTGCTTCAGGTATTGTTCTCAGACAGAACACTAAACAGACACACTCACATTGCACATTTAGAAACAATTACTTTATTAATTTGAGAGAAAAACACATTTAAAATACCAAATGTTAATAGACAGAATCAGAATTTGTCCTTCTGATGGTAAAAAAAAAATCAGAATTGATCAGAATTCCCCTTTACAATATATTTCTACATTAGAATACTTCCAAAAACATGATATGTTGTTTGTGTGTGAAACTGATGTTACATTCAGGACCCATTAGAAATGTTTTAAGAACTTGGGGAGGCACCTTATATCCCTTTAGTGCGCCCTCCAAAATGTGCATTTACTCCCGATTTCCATCCAGACTTCTACAGGGAGGAGTTCATTTCTAATTTTTTTGGAGGGGAAGAGATGGATGCATGTGTGATTGTATGTCAGGTGAAATGAGAGAGAAATTCTGAGCTGGAGGTAAAAGAGAGGACTGCATTAGTTGGCTGTGGTCCGGCATTTCATTGGCTAGAGAATGAAGATGACTATAACAGACTCCGTCCTCATTAAAGTTTAAGTGCCTGAGCTTCTTCCATCCCCTCCCTCCATCATTCCACCTCCTATTAACCTATTCCTGCAGTTAAGACCTTTGTGTTGTGGTGGCCGGAGAGTTTGACCTGAAAGTTTTGAGGTTGAATCTTGCACCACACACACACACACACACACACACACACGTTTACACATCACTGCCGTTCTGAGGAAGTCTCTCAGAGAGCGCACAAATGCACTTTCCAGATGTGAGAATATAATAGATTTAATTATTCTGTCATAATTTCTGCCTCACAGATACAAGGTGAAATCTCAGGCCTTCAGGGTGTGCATGTGTCTGTCAGTAGGCTTTAGTGTGCGTGTTTCTGTCCGTTATGTTCGAGGTGCGTTTTCTGTCACAATACCAAAAGCTGCTGACTCTGGTTTGCAACAGACTCTTTGCCAGGGATGTCTCATTTCTGAAGGCAGGACCTGATGGAAAGCGAAGCCAGTGATCAACCTCAGTGAAACAGGAATCAAAGCCGCAGTCTCGGAGCACTCATTAGGGTACTGGAGCTTTTCTGGAACATTCCTGCATATGAGTTTCTGAGTTTTCCTGACTGAAATCATTCCTCCATGACCGATTTGTACTCTTCCTTCCTATTAATGCTTTGTACAATTCATAAACTGAGGAGAGAAAGTGTTCTCTTGCTCAAGTTTGATGAAAGACCAAATGAAACCGACCTGTGTGAAGGTTAAAGTTTAATGTTTAGTTTTTAGAAATTCTATACTTACCACAAAAACTATTTCACCACCAAAGAAATCAAACCTCTAATATTGTAATATTGTCTGAGTCAGAATCTACTTTTTGCTATCGTTTATGTTGGTTCAGTTATACATACTAGTTTAATGAGATGTCAGAGATGAATGAATGGTTATAAGAGCACACAATATTTCCAGTGTTTCATCTCAGGTGCAGGAGGTGTGCTTGGTGTGCACACAGACCTGAATATTTGATGATGTTGTCTATATCAATGTTTTGTTTGGCCTGATAATTAAAAAAGTTAATTTTATTAAAAATGTTACTTTTGCCATGTTCAATTATTTCAATATTTATGTGTATGTGTCTGTATAATGATCAGAATTTTTTTGGTGCTGCTTTTGGAGGAAGAAAGAATGGGATCATCAGAAAGGGTCATTTGTTATGCAGTTATACAGTACATTTTCATTAAAAATATGCATATACACTGTCATTCAAAAGTTTGGGTAATATTTTATAATATAAGTCTCTTAAGAAGTCTTATTCCAGAGTGACTCATTTATTATGAAATATTTCACACTTTTCCTTCTTTTTTCCTTTTTCTTATCAAAATATGTGGGGGGGAAAACATGATTTCATTGTTTTTGTTTTGACAATATGGATACTATTGCCATCCACCAGGAAAATAGCAGTACAAGTATAAGCAAGTGTTATCAACCAGTTTGATGAATTCTGTGGGGTTTTGTGGCATTAGTTGGTTTGTCTGCCTTTCCATTAGATTTACAAATTAGTGATGGGGATCACATTGTTTTTATTAAACCTAATCGTTTAATTTTTGTGAAGGCCCTGGTTCATTTAAACTACATTACAGCGCTTCCACTGCATCACATTAAAATCTCATTCAAGTTGAAACTCAGGTTTATCATGCCCACCTTTATTAAGAGAAGGAAACTATTCAGTGTGCAGTATTTACCTTCCACTTAATCAGATGTGGCTGTGTGCACCTCTGAGTAGAATGAGATTAAAGCCTCACACGTTCTCCGTGGCTCTCTAGGGTTCCTCAATGGCTCTGTTCAGGGACAGCAGGTGATGTAAGAATCGAGACTGGTAGAATGAGAAACGGGTCGACGAATCTTTGATGGAGTCTGCTGGAGGCCCAAATCACTTCCAGCTGCAGTGTGCTTTGAAGCTTTATGATCTAGCCACTCGTTCTCTTTCTCTTGCAACACACGTTTTTCTGTATCATATTGTATCCGTCCTGCAGCTCTCAGTATATTTCACTCTCTTTACAGATTTGCTGGTCGGTGCATTTGGAGTGAGTAAAGTTGTGGCCTACAGGTGAGAAAGTTTACACTTTACATAAACCATATTAATACAACATTATCAAAATGTTGAAAAATTTATATTTTTACATTTTATACAAGTACTCATGTGAAGATTTGTGACATGTGCATCATAAAAAGTTGTAATTTCGATATGAGTCATTTTTGTTTTGTGTTTCTCAGCTTTAAGTCTCAGCATTCAAATGATGCCAGTGTTATCATGAATTATAACAAATCAAAACATTGTTATACGTCAAATAATATATTTGTGTGCAGCTACACATATTTTTTCTGGCCTAAACTCACTCACAGTTTTCTAATACACTCACATGTTTTCCCCATTAGAGTGAATGGCACAGAAACCACCTGTGTTTGAGGTTTAGCTGGAAGGGAACCTGATACATATGAAGTTGTTTTTCCTCTGTTCTATGATCGTATTGAAACACATTTTTTAAATTGCATAACAGAAAATATTGAAATGTCTGGCTTCATAATGCATTCATGAAGAAATCCTTAGCTGTAGTTGACGGGAGTACAGTCAGCGAACATTATGGCATGTCTAGTCTGAGTACCCAAGACTTCGATTGGGTATTTCAGATCAGGTTTCCCTCAGAAATGTTTCAAAATAGTCCCTTTTTCCTGCCTCAAGGCCACCAAAACACACAGACAAATGAACATGTCCCAGCACACAGTCTCACACACTAGCAGTGTCTTGGTGTCAGTGTTAAAGCGATTAGCTGTCGTGGGCTCTGGTGTATTTGTGTAAGCTAACATTTCCACTGTTAATCCAGTTTGAGTGCTAGTCTCAACAGACTGAAAGTGAGACCGGAGCAGAACAGAGACTGACCTCATGTTAAGTTCTCATTTACTCAGTCTGTCTGATGTTCTATTAGAATAAGACTCTGAATGTTTAGTTTCTGTTAGTTAAATGTTTTGTAAGTGATTATGTAATACTGTGCATTAAATGTTCATTCCGTCAGAAATCAGATGTCACTGAAATAGGCGTCCTGAGAAATGACTTCAATTAGCTTTTTTAGCTAATCGAAATTCTTGTCAGTAATTTTGTATGTTCAGGTTTGCTGTTATGAGAGAGAGGTTTTGGAGAGAAGGTGTGTTGTTGAAGTTAGCAAAATGGCTAAAATCACTCGAAGCACCTTTAAAGTCAACATGAAAACAAAATGTACATTTATATTTACTTTCTTAATGCATGTTCCTGGTCTTATTGTAAACAATTCATTGGTACATTATTCTATTTTAGATTATTATTATTTTTAATTATCTTCCTTTGAAACAACTTTGAACTATCGAATATTGTTAACCAACAACCAAAAAGCTATTAGTGAACTAATATTCACATTTTCATATGAGTATCTGTTTCACACTTACATGCATGCAAAATGTGTTATGAACTGAAATTCACATTGACATTAGGTCTTGTCATTTCTTTCGATTTTTAACAGCCAACTTTAGTGGGTTCCTAATGTTCATGTACAGCTCTGAATTTAGCTTCCCATTCAAACTTATTACTGCAATCATATCATATCATATCAATTATATCAGTAATTTGTTATTTATCTTTGTAATATTATTCCAATTATATTGTCTCTCATCAATACTAGGTCAAGGCCAGTGGTCACGGTGGACGCTCAGCTGATTTTGACACCCAGAATTCTCAATCCTGAGGACAAGTCCTGCCGTATGCCCAATTCTGATGACATGGTAACCTGGTAAGTGTCAACCACATTTATCCAGTGCTAGTTACTGAAGGGTGACTCTAGTGTACTTCAAGTTCAAAAAACAAACAAACAACTTTTGAAAGTTCATGTTTTGATTAATCTATTCTAGATGAAGTGTTCAGCTGATGGGACAGTTATGTTGATCTTTAGTCCTGGTTAAGGGTAAACCAAAGCAGTCTGGGCCAAAGAGCTATGGCTGACTAGGAGGTTTTAAAGTCATGTGGTCTATAGTACCACATTACAGCAGTTTTTCTTCTCTGTGGTAAAACTTTAGTATTTCTGGAAGTCTCAATACATTCTTCCAAACCACACAAACATACACACAACCCTGCATTCTTACCCCTTTTGTGGATAGGCATTGTGTACCACAAGTAGTTTTTGGGCCCCGTGACTGTAAACATACCAGATCTGTTTGGCTGCTTGGGTTGCATGTGCCCGTGTGTTAGGGTTGGCATGGGGAAGAAAGAATTTGGAGGTTTTGGAGAGACAAACGAAAGAACTAAAGTGTGGAATTCTGCAATAACAAAAGAGTAGCTTAGTAAAATAAATGTACAAACTGTGGTTGGAAATAGAAAGACAGAGAGAAACTTTGAATCACACAGATGAACACCAAGAAACAGAACAAGCCAGGATGGAAAAACCACCACCATGGTTAAGATTGTAAACTCATGGTTAAAATTGTGTCTCGCTAGAGTTAAAAAAAAAATTATTTTTTTTTTTATATATATTATTTTGTATTCTTTCAACAGAAATTAATCAAATTTTTTTTAAATGAGAAAATTGCAAAACAGAAGTATTAATAATAATAATAATTTAAAAAAAAATAATAATAATAATCATACTACCCAGTGAAATGTAAATTTTTAATTTAATGCAATTTGTTTCTATTCTGTTATTATAATAATAGAAATATAATAACAATAGTAACAACAATAATAATAATTGTTGTTATTATTATTATCATCAACAACAACTAGTGTAATGCTTCTGTTTTGCATTTTTCAAATTTAATAAAAAATGTTATATATATTATTATATTATATTTTATTATATTTTATACAATTATATTTTAAACAGCCTACGTATGTGCATAGTGCAAAAGTGTGTTAAATGACTCATGTCAAACCACACACACAGAAGGGTGCCATTAATACTCTGAGGAGTGGGCAGTAATTACATATGGCAGATGGGCGGCAGAGTCAGAAAAGTTGCAGTGGGATCAGAGCAGGGGTCAGGAGGGGTCAACCTCCGGGCACTGGAGTGTTTGTATGTGCGCAGGCCTTGTACGTGATTATGCATTTACCCTTGTCATGGGGGAGGAGAACTAACAAGTTATTATTAAATGATGTAATTGGGGCCACTTCCTCCCTTAAATATGACTTCGGCTGAGCATTTTAAAATGCACCACTACCTGGAGGGGTCATGGCAGGGTTTGCGTGGTTAGAGCACAGTGCACAAATGCTGGATTCCATCAGGCACGGCCTCATGGGTATTTCGTGTTGTTCATGAGGCACCGCATCCAGCTGTTTATTGCTAATTTAAACTCCGACACGCTCAATGCTGGGTAAGTGTGTGTAGGGGGCTAATGGTGTGTTTCTGATTAGACATATTTGGGTTGTATGGAATGCTATGCATCAGATTGGCCCTTTGGGCCATTAAGGCTGCAGTTGTGAGTCCCCGAGCACAGATATCATTACACGTTCAACATAACGGAAATACAGTTATTGAGCACCAGCTGGAGAGGTGTGAGTGTGTTTTTATGCGCTCTCACCTTACAGCATGTGTGTCAGTGAGTTGCTTGATATGGCCTAGCATGTTTTAAATCCTCTGTCCTGGTTCTATTTGTGTTTCTTTGCAAATGAAGGGCTAGTTTTACACAAGAGCCCTGCAGCAACAGAACGGCCATCTTTAGATTCCAGTAAATTAATTGTGCGGTCCATAGCCGGGTCGTCCTGTGCTGTGTCTGGATAAAAGTATGTTTGTGTGGGTGTTTGCATATTAGACTTCATATAAATGGGCTTTTGAAATGTTATTAGAATATATAATGACAATATAGTATTTGTATGAGATCTTTGAGAAAATGAGAGAGGTTTTGTCCCTTTTTTCTGACAGGAACAGGAAGTCGCTCTTGGGCTGATCTAATTGCCACCTCTATTACCAGACTATTAAAGCGAGGGAGGGATAGGGAGATGAAGCAAGGAAAGGGCAGATGGATGAGAAAAAAAGAGGCAAATTTGATTAATTAATTAAATATTGAGGAGCACAGAGTCCCTCAGCGTTCCACGTCTCCATTCAGCTCCATGTATTAACACTCCACCTACAGTATATTCACAATCCTCTTCCTCTGATTTTTTTTTAATGCCACTTAAATGTTGTCATTGCTTTTTGGCTAAGTTATGCTGTACTAAATGTCTCTCTCTTTTTATTTCTTTCTCTCAGTCTGTCAGTAAATGTGTGTGCAAAGATCTCTGGGATTGGTATTCCTGATTATGTAGGTGAGTGCATTATTTTCTCTATTAATTGAATGCATTTTGTTTCATGTAAATGGATGTAGTCTTATCAACAAATGTCTTGAAGAAATGTATTTGGCCGTTTGTACATGTGACGTCATTATAACGGTGGAAATCTCTCTGCTTAACCTGATTCTGGAGCTTTTCAAAAAAGTGTTCAAAGCCTTAAACCAAACCAAACAACTACTAAATTAAATACAATTTTGATTCAAAGCAAAAAAATAAGTATTTCAAATAATGTTACAAGGTTACAATGTTACAATGCTAAATGAACTACAGTACACATCCCATAACGCATACACAAATCAGCTTTGACTGATTTTAAAAAAAATAAAAAATGTATACTTTTATTAAAACAAAGAAGTTTATTACTGAAATGTATATTTAAAATAAATGCTTTTGAACTTTCTATTCATCAAAAAAGTCCTGAAAAAATGTATCACATTTCCACAAAAATATTAAGTAGCACATCTGTTTTTAACATTGATAATATGAAATGTTTCTTGAGCAGCAAATCAGCATATTAGAATGATTTCTGAAGGATCATGTGACACTGAAGACTGGAGTAATTCAGCATTGCAATCACAAGAATAAATTACATTTTAAAATATATAAGAAAACAGTTATGTTAAATTTTTATATTATTTCACAATATTACAGAAGTTGTTTCAGAGTGTAAGGAGATTGACTCCATTATGTCTTTCTTATTAGAATCAGAAAGAGCTTTATTGCGTGTTATGTTTACACATACAAGGAATTTGTTATGGTGACAAAAGCTTCCACAGCACAAACAGAATGACAGTGAAAAGACTGATAATAACAGGAAATAGCAATATACAACAAATTTTTGAAGAAAAACGCAATATACAAAATAGACAATAGATGGTATTTGTGTGTACAGGTGTGTTATGTACGAATGCAAGGAAATGTAAATAAGAAGTATGGTGTGTTAAATAAATGTATGAATAATGTTGTGTATTACATGTTTATTGTAAAGTTAACTGTTCATGAGATGGATTGCCTGAGGGAAGAAACTGTTCTCATACCTGGCTGTTCTGGCGCTCAGTGCAGATGGCAACAGTTCAAAGAGGAAGTGGCCTGGGTGTGAGGGGTCCAGAATGATTTTGCCAGCTCTTTTACTCACTCTGGTTGAGTACAGTTCTTGGAGAGTGGGGAGGGTTGTACCAGTGATTCGCTCAGCAGTCCGGACTATGCGCTGTAGTCTTCTGTGGTCAGTTTTGGTAGCTGAGCTGAACCAGACAGTTATAGAAGTGCAGAGGATGGATTCAATGACTACAGAATAGAACTGTATCAGCAGCTCCTGTGGCAGGTTGAACTTCCTCAGCTGGCGAAGGAACTACAGCCTCTGCTGGGCCTTCTTGACAATGGAGTCTATGTGGAACTCCCACTTCAGGTCCTGAGAGATGGTGGTGCCCAGGAATCTGAATGACTCCACTGTTGCTACAGCAGTACACATCCCATAACGCATACACAAATCAGCTTTGACTGATTTTAAAAAAAATAAAAAATGTATACTTTTATTAAAACAAAGAAGTTTATTACTGAAATGTATATTTAAAATAAATGCTTTTGAACTTTCTATTCATCAAAAAAGTCCTGAAAAAATGTATCACATTTCCACAAAAATATTAAGTAGCACATCTGTTTTTAACATTGATAATATGAAATGTTTCTTGAGCAGCAAATCAGCATATTAGAATGATTTCTGAAGGATCATGTGACACTGAAGACTGGAGTAATTCAGCATTGCAATCACAAGAATAAATTACATTTTAAAATATATAAGAAAACAGTTATGTTAAATTTTTATATTATTTCACAATATTACAGAAGTTGTTTCAGAGTGTAAGGAGATTGACTCCATTATGTCTTTCTTATTAGAATCAGAAAGAGCTTTATTGCGTGTTATGTTTACACATACAAGGAATTTGTTATGGTGACAAAAGCTTCCACAGCACAAACAGAATGACAGTGAAAAGACTGATAATAACAGGAAATAGCAATATACAACAAATTTTTGAAGAAAAACGCAATATACAAAATAGACAATAGATGGTATTTGTGTGTACAGGTGTGTTATGTACGAATGCAAGGAAATGTAAATAAGAAGTATGGTGTGTTAAATAAATGTATGAATAATGTTGTGTATTACATGTTTATTGTAAAGTTAACTGTTCATGAGATGGATTGCCTGAGGGAAGAAACTGTTCTCATACCTGGCTGTTCTGGCGCTCAGTGCAGATGGCAACAGTTCAAAGAGGAAGTGGCCTGGGTGTGAGGGGTCCAGAATGATTTTGCCAGCTCTTTTACTCACTCTGGTTGAGTACAGTTCTTGGAGAGTGGGGAGGGTTGTACCAGTGATTCGCTCAGCAGTCCGGACTATGCGCTGTAGTCTTCTGTGGTCAGTTTTGGTAGCTGAGCTGAACCAGACAGTTATAGAAGTGCAGAGGATGGATTCAATGACTACAGAATAGAACTGTATCAGCAGCTCCTGTGGCAGGTTGAACTTCCTCAGCTGGCGAAGGAACTACAGCCTCTGCTGGGCCTTCTTGACAATGGAGTCTATGTGGAACTCCCACTTCAGGTCCTGAGAGATGGTGGTGCCCAGGAATCTGAATGACTCCACTGTTGCTACAGTGCTGTTCACGATGGTGAGTGGGAGGAGTGCAGGGGGGCTTCTCCTGAAGTCCACAACCATCTCCACTGTTTTGAGCGTGTTGAGCTCCAGGTTGTTAAGACTGCACCAGACAGCCAGCTCTTTAACCTCACATCTGTAAGCAGACTCGTCGTTGTCCTGTATGAGCCAAGATAAGTGTCGTGTCATCTGTAAACTTTAGGAGCTTGACAGAGGGGTCCTTTTCAGTGCAGTCATTGATGTAGAGGGAGAAGAGCAGTGGGTAGAGAACACATCCCTGAGGGGCACCAGTGCTGATGGTTTGGGTGCTGGATGAGAATTTTCCCAGCCTCACTAGCTGCTGCCTGTCTGTCAGGAAGCTGGTGATCCACTGGAGGTGGGCACAGAGAGCTGGGTTAATTTGGACCGGAGGAGGGTTTGGTATGATATTGTTGAAGGCCGAGCTGAAGTCTACAAACAGAATCCTCACATAAGTCCCTGGTTTGTCCAGATGTTGTAGGATATAATGCAGTCCCATGTTGACTGCATCATCCACAGACCTGTTTACTCGGAAAGCAAAATGCAGGGGTTCCAGTAAGGGTCCAGTGATGTCCTTAAGGTGGACCAGCAAACAGTCTTTCAAATTACTTCATGACCACAGACATTAAAGCAATAGGTCTGCAGTCATCTAGTTCTGTGATTTTGGGTTTCTTTGGTATGGGGATGATGGTGGAGCGTTTGAAAGCAGGAAGGGACTTTGCATAGCTCCAGTGATCTGTTGAAAATTTTAAGATGAAGATAGGGGCCAGCTGGTCAGCACAGGATTTCAGACAGGCTGGTGTAACACTGCATGGGCCTGGTGCTTTTCTTGTCTTCTGTTTCCAGAAGACCTGACGCACATCATCTTCACTGATCCGAAGTTCAGGAGGGGGGTTGCTGGAGGTGTTATTGGATCCATGGAGAGAAGGTCACAATGGGTGTGAGGTGTGAGACAGGGTTTTTCAAACCTGCAATAGAATTCATTCAAATGTCGGCCAGTTTTTGATTCCGTGCAATGCTGGGGGATGGTGTCTTGTAATTGGTGATGTCTTTCAGTCCTTTCCACACTGAAGCATTGGCTGAAAACTGGATTCTCCGCTTTTCAGAGTAGTTTGTCTTAGCCACTCTGATCTCCTTTGTCCATGTTTTTGGCCTGTTTATACAAGACTGTTTCCCCATTCCTGTAAGAATCTTCTTTGGCCTGATGGAGCTGTCTGTGTTTTGCAGTGAACCACGATGTGTCGTTGTTGTAAGTTAAATGAGTCCTGGTAGGAATGCACATATCCTCACAGAATGTATGATGTTACAGTCTCTGTGAGCTCGTCCAGATCGTTGACAGCAGCTTCAAAACACTCCAATCAGTGCAGTCAAAACAGGCTTGTAAATCCTGCTCTGCTTCATTAGTCCATCTTTTTACAGTCCTCATTACAGGTTTAGCTGATTTCAGTTTCTGCCTGTAGGCTAGTATAAGATGAACCAAACAGTGATCTTCATTCAGCCAGGTTTCTGTGAAACACAGAGCAGCACAGTTTGAAAAGTCCTTATTTATCCAGGAGAGCAGAAGAAGTTTTGTTGGGTAGAGAGCAGAGATTCGCCAGATGGATACTAGGCAGCACCATTCTAAAGCCGCACTGTGTGAGCTTGACCTGTGCTCCGGCTTGCTTCCCATACTTGCATGTCTTAAAGTGCTTGAACAGCACCACCGCTCTGCCAACTACAATGTCCAGTAAAACATCAGAATTGGGTGGTGTGTACTGGCGAATGTTCCGCAAATCATCCATGGCGAAACTTATTGTGGGAATATAACTAAAAACAGGATAAACTAACAAAAACATTAAAACAACTGTAGAGCTCCACACCGAGGCGGCCTTCTGCGACGCCATCTTGGAAGATGAAGGGAGTAGACTTTTACAGTTGACTTTTGTTTCCATGGTAACAGCAACATTTCTGATTTGTGGATGTTTCTTCATAATTGTACTTGGCAAATAAACATGGTGTTTGTGGCTTCCACATTTCAGAGCTCATGGTATATTTTGAATACCATGAATTAGGGATGCTCCGATCGATCGGCTGGAGATCGGTATCGATGGCCGATAATCACATTTTATGACTCGATCGGTACTCACCACACTTGGCCGATTTCACGAACCGATTGCAATTTGATGACGTCAACACGTGACGGCATACATGATGCGTTGGGACATAAATGATTTGGAGCAACAGTCATGTCATCACCGGTGTGGAAATGCGATGACGTTTCGAAAAACAATGAAAAATTTCCTATTTGTCTTGTATGTTTTGCATGATAATATGATGAATGGATGGTTCATTTTTAACAGCAGATTCAGTGACGTTAGAGCTGATCTGCACCTCACTGCACAGGACTGCGGCGCGTAGGTCTCCACGGCTACTGGAGCTGATCGCGGCCGCTCTAGTCAGTCTAGTCAGTGCTTGTGTTTATCAGCCAGCCGTGGCACGTTTCTGAAACTCTGCAAATTGCAGCTCTCTGCGCTGCTTGGCTAAAAATAGTCTTTTGTGAGTTGTCTCAGCGTGGAGGACGGACCAAACCTCGTCAGAGCCATAAGGGATAACGGTAACATAACACGCTGATCGTGGGCTGCTTTTAAATGAACATTTATTTATAAAACAAAATATCTTCTTTGGCCATATTAACCTACACAATAGCATTAACACAGGCTTTACTCCTTTTAAACTTTATCTGGAATGTCACCATTTCTGTCACAGCAACTTCCCGATCAGGCGAACGAATACACACACACAAAATCTTCTACCTTATGAAAAAAAATTTATTTAAAAAAATTGTATTTAATATTTGCATCATTTATGATTTATTTTATCCTCCCGCGACCCAACCGCAAATAATCAGAATGCATTTTTTATTACCCGACCCGTGGATATAGGAAAAGCAAAATATGTTTGCTGCGTAAATCAGACGGACTTACTGAAAATGCTAATTCATTCTCTGCCAGCAGGAGCTGCTAAAAAGCGGGAGAAACAGGTTGTGTACACATCAGCGCTGAGCTCACAAACGCTGCTTTATCAGGCATATAACATGCAAGTTGAAATAAAAATGACATCGAAAATTTTCTAAAGATAGTCTTCCTTCAGATATACAGTGATATAAAAACACCCGCGCCTCGTTTTGATTTTTAAACGTGCAGAACATGCTCATGTTTATTTAACAAAGCCTTTTGGAAAATCCGTCAGTTTTGATATTGTGGCGAGCGCCACAAATAAATAAATGTATGGGAAACACATCCCACAGCACAACCACCTGTGCCCAACTTCAGTCTACTCATCACCTTAACTTTAACTGCGTTTGTAGCCGGCGCCATAGCCAGACTGATAAACAAACACAGACTGGAAGTTAACTTCGGGCCAGGCGCGTATGCCCGATGAAACAGTCTATATAAAGCTTGAAGCATCAGAATCGGCATCGGTATCGGCCGATCACCATGACAAGAATTCGGTACTCCGTATCGGCTGCAAAAATCCTGATCGGAGCATCCCTACCATGAGTCAATTTCTCTGTGGAAAAATGAATGAGACTTATATAATTCTAATGTTGCACTCTATTGCACAGGTTAATAATGAAAACAAGTGATTTCATCATCCATTACACACTGTCCCATGGTGCTTACTGACATAGAGATATTTTATTGTTTTCACTTTTATGTGTTTTGCTCAGTGTGAGTTTGTGTGTCTCAGCACTCGTTGAACATCTGTATGTAAGTGGCTTCAGTAATGGCCAAAATGGCGAAGGTGCCAAACTCAGTTAAAACAACAGGCAATAAAAGCCTCTTTCCCAGCACTTCTGAATGCAGGCCTGTTAAAAATCAGTGCATATGGTTTTGGAGATGACAAAGAACAGGTGTGGCTGTGTGCATTCCTGTGCCTGTGAGAGTGTGTGTGTGAGGCACACATTTGATGGAAGCACTATTTGATTGTTGTTCAGAAGCCCTGGTCATTAACCTTAGGTAAGTGCCATTTTTACGGCCCAAACTTTTTAATTCCCGAGCAGAAATGGCATGAATTAAAGTCTGTAAAGTTGGAGCTAACAATAGCATGCCTGTCTCTCTCTTATAGCTCTAAGAATGGACCTGCAGCTGGACTGGCTGAAGCAGCGTGGAGCAGTTAAGAGGATCTTGTTCATGGACTCTCACCAGCACCAGAGAACCCAACAGTTGGTTCTGGGTCAAGGGGACCGCCAACATTGCCACAACTACTCTGTTTACCTGCGGGTGAGGCTTATAGTCCACACGCAGCACAGAATATACCTGAACTGGCCTCATTCTTCATGATAAATTCTTGTTTTATGTTCACTACAACTGAACCCATGGGAAAGTTAATTGTGAGCCAAACCAAGCTCCTAGTACAACACGGCTCATCTGGATGGAATAAGCAATGTGAGAACCCCTCCATGAGAGTGTCTCACAAAAATGAGACCAAAAATTCTGCTGGGCCTAGGTGACACAGGAATTAAACACAGTCTTAAGTGTTTCTGGGTGTTTATATGATAACACAGGCCATGGGAAATACTTTTATTTGCCAGCTCAATTTGACTGATAAAATCTCAGGCAATATGACCTATCGCTATGATATATGGCAGATGTATCCAACAAACATCCAACAACATAAGAACAGAAATTAGAAACAGGAAATTATTAAATAATAATAAGAATAATAAATTGGTTATTATTGTATATATACTGATATATAGTTATTATTATTATTATTATTATTATTATTATTATTATTATTATTATTAAATTAAATTAAATTAAAATTATTTTTTTTATTATATTTTATATTACCGGTATCACAAATTTCCAACAACAGAAATGTTCATTACTATTATTATTATTATTATTATTATAAAATTATATATATATATATATATATATAATTATTAAATAAAAATAATATAATACTTTATATATTATTACTATAATATATGACAGATGTAAAGCATAAACACCCTATAACTTAAGAACAGAAATTAGATAATTATGAATACGTAAAATGTTTGTTATTATTAGTAGTAGTATACATTTGTATACAATGATTAATTATTATTAAATACAAAAGTATATTATATATTTATTTTTACATTACATTTTATTATACATTAAGGTCACAATTAAAAAAAAAACATAGGCATGAATAGCAGTTCACAAAGAATTTGAGAAAATATTTGTGTTTGTAACAATTTGGATTTGTGCAAATAATGTGTGTGTTTTTATGCAGCAGCCTCACACTATAACAGCCTTGCAGCTTTTGTGTTCATAAGCTTTTCTTTAACAAATCCTTGTGCATTTCTGTTCAGAAACATAAACATACATTCTCATTTTCTCAAATCCTTGTAACTTATTCAATAATTGTATTTATTTTCCTTGGCTTTCTGAGGCAAGCATGTTCATACAGCAGCTGTGATTTTTCTGTCATTTAAAGGAAACAGATTGATGTCAAAGGACAAAAATAATCAAACAAGTGAAGTAGAAGAATAAGTAAAGTGAAACTAAGATGAGAGGAAGAGTAATTCAGTTGTTTGCAATCCACCTCTCTTTCTTTTTTTTCTTGCTATGTGTGTAGGATGAGGGAGAATTCAGAGATAAGCTGAGTCCTATCAGCGTGACACTGAACTACAGTCTGGACCAGAACTCCCCTCCACCTGGCCTCCAGCTGCGGCCCATTTTGGACCACTACAGCAAGACCTTCCACCATGATCAGGTCTGCATGCAACAGGAATGTTTACCATTGTTTGTGAGAAGCTGCATGTGTGCATTCATGTGCAAGTTAAATAATTCAATAAGGATGACATGCAGGGTTTAGATGAAGTGTTTTCTTTTTTTTCTTATAAAAAACATGACAGCATCTTGTTGTCTGATATAAACAGTTAACTAGAGAAAAAGTAATACATAGTTAAATTCGATGAACAAACAAAAAACGGGAAGAGAAGATATTTTTTTCCTCTCCCTTAGGCAAACATCCTGTTGGACTGTGGGGAAGACAACATGTGCATCCCAGATCTCAAACTTTCTGCTAAAATGTGAGTCAGTGGGTCTGATGCATACAGTACATGTGTGTGCCATTGGCCAATTGTTTGTGTATGTGTTTTGTTTGCAGTGTTCTAACATGTATCAGTTGTTTGTGTTTTATAGCAAGTCATTCTTTGATTTTGGCCTCATATAAGAAGTTATTTTAAATATAGGTCTGATAAATTTTTTTTTTATAGGGACCGGACTGAACTTATAATCGGGGATGACAACTTGCTTATGTTGTTCATTAATGCAGCCAATGAGGGTGAGGGGGCATATGAGGCGGAGCTTCATGTGACCCTCCCACCAGAGGCGGACTATATTGGTGTGGAGCGCAGACGTGAGGTAAACAACATTACCCACTATCCTTTTTGACTGTACATATACTGTATGTATACGCGCTTAACTCTGGTAAAACGGTGGTGTTGTGTGATGTTTGTTCCAGAGAGGCATGTTAAGGGCGGGTTTTAGAGTAGTTCTGCAGGGCTACTGACCTGAGAGTGGAAACACAGCTTGATTTTGGCCTTGCAGCTCAAGGTTCAAGGCTATTGGCTCTGCCTGGCCTGTTGTTAGCCCTAGATTTTATTTATCACGTGAGCAGAGTGAGTCGAGCTGACTGACAAGAGTGAGGTGAGACAGACGATGGCAGAAGATTGTTTAGAAAGGAAACGCAAAGGCACCTGTTTGGCAATATTTTAGATTTTGAAAAGTCTATTGACTGGAAGTTTTTTTGAAACATTCGTTTCTTATTTATTTGGTTCCACCATGTTTGCTGATTACTTTATTTAAAATTGGTGTATTTTATTTTACATCAAGGTGTGTATATGCCGTGCCTTCAAGCTTTCTTATTCGTTTTGCTAATAAACGTTCTATGTTTCTTATTTATTTGGTTCCACAGTGTTTGCTGATTTTCAGTTTTATATTCCTATTTAAACTTTGTGTAGCCTAAGTAATTTGTTATTTTATTAGGCATATATGGTGTATTTTTATTCGTTTTGTTTATAAAAGTTCTGAGTTTGACGTTGTTGTTGCTTGAATTGAATCAACGCAGAATTGCCGCTAATTTGAAAGTGAAAGTAAAATGCACACAGCACTTTTTCAAGCTATTTGAAAGCCAAGAAATCTGAGGAAAAGAGGGAAAACTCAAACGAAAAATAGCTTGATGCCAAATTGCGGCAATTCAAATGCTGCTAATTTGAAAGTGAAAGTAAAATGCACACAGCACTTTTTCAAGCTATTTGAAAGCCAAGAAATCTGAGGAAAAGAGGGAAAACTCAAACGAAAAATAGCTTGATGCCAAATTGCGGCAATTCAAATGCTGCTAATTTGAAAGTGAAAGTAAAATGCACACAGCACTTTTTCAAGCTATTTGAAAGCCAAGAAATCTGAGGAAAAGAGGGAAAACTCAAACGAAAAATAGCTTGATGCCAAATTGCGGCAATTCAAATGCTCCCCCCCCCCCCCCCCCCCCCCCCTCCCAACAGTGATACAGGTGTTGTAACACGTAGATTAACCAATGGGAATATATCCTCACCGTCACAACCCTAGTCTCAGACTCTCTCATTGCTGTGTTTAGATTATTACTCACTCGCTGTATTCTCATCTTCCAGAAAACAGCTCATGCATGAGTTTATTTTGCTCATTACAGTGTATAAATAATTTACATGTTTAATATGAATGTTAGATGCAATATAGGTCTATCTGTCTATCTATCTATCTATCTATCTATCTATCTATCTATCTATCTATCTATCTATCTATCTATCTATCTATCTATCTATCTGAGCTCAGGTCTTGTGAAATATCATATTTACTAAATAGCTTTAAATCCATCATGGTAAAATGCTAAATCTGTAATCCATTCTGACCCAGAGTTAAAAACACAAACATGAGCGCTGCAGTGTCTTTGATGTAGTAATGAGGCAGGAATGCAGTGAATGTTGATCTAATTATGGGTAAGGTTTCTTATTAAACATAGCCTAAAACATGCGTCATGTCTAGGTGTTCTCAGTAATGCATTGCTAAGATCTAACGGACTGTTTATTTCATTTCATACAGTCCTGCATTCACTTATCTTCATTCATATCTTCTGCTGTCATTCCATCATCCCGTTCGTGCATCTCTGCCTCTTCCCGCATGAGACGCTGGTGCTCTCTGGCACTGACCACAAAAGATCTGATTGCTCTATGTCTGTCAGTTATGATTTTAACAGAATTCAGTGTATAGCTGGTAATTGCAGCACGTGTTTGAGAGTGGCTCTTAACCCTTTAGAACCTAAAGCTAAAATAGGCCGTTTTCACTCATTTCGTTTTTTTGAGTATAAAATTTTAACACAATGTGGTATCTTCAAGTGTAAGGTGTCATTTTTTTTCAGAAAATGATTGGCTTTCAGGAAATTACAGTTATTGTACATTATTGTGTGTGGTGAGTTAGTAAATAGAATTGAAATAGACAAAAAATTAAAAAACGGGAAGAAATTTAACTGCTTTTTATTTAGAAAAAATCTGAAAACTCATGAACGAAAGAATCTAATGCCTCAGTCTTGAAAAAGGAACTATAATACATATATACAAGTCTTTTTGGGACACTAGATTGCACAGTTTTCACTCAGGAGACATTTGTTTTACCCCAGTTCTCCAGGCGTTTTTGGATCCTTCAATCCAGTCATTTAAATGTGGTGCTCTCTGAAGCAGTTCCTGTCTAACTGCAAACATAGTCCCACATCACATTCCTGGCACTTCCATGGGGTGCTCCTTTTGCATCGTATGCAACGACGCCGACCCATGCTGGCCCTCTCTGAAAGGTTTTGAGTGTTACTCACAGGAACAGGCAGATGATCACATCTCTCTCTCGGGCTGCCATCCAGGGGAACACCTGTGAGCTGAGCAGCTAGCAGCTCCTGAAAGTTTTGCCGTGTCATGCACTTGTCATGGTGGATGGCACACAGCTCTTTGTGTAAAATGAAGCTGTTGGTCACTGCAATGTCTAGGAAGTGCTGGAAAATTGTCATGTACCACTTCCGTGTTTTACGGTGCACAGAATTTGTTCCGAGCATCTGGTCAGAGGTGTCAACTCCTCCCATATACTTATTGTACTGCTGAACTGCTGTTGGCCTGGGAACAGGGACCTTCTCTTTTCGCCCATCCTCTGTCGTCTGCCACCTTAGCACAGTCTCCCCGCTGTACACTGTGTGGATAGTTGTGCACATGGAGACCTCCCTTGTGTCCATCCACTTCACAAACAAAAGGACATCATTTCTGATCCAGCGAATGGAGCCTCTTGGTGATCTTTTGTTCAAGGCATTTTGTTTGGTTGAGGGAACACCAACTCTTCCTTCTCGATAAGTTCCACATGTGCCAAATCCCAGCTGGTGCAGATGTCGAAAGAGGAGAGGGCTTGTGTAGAAATTGTCACAGTAAATCACATAGCCTGACCCCAGGTAGTCTCGGTTCACCAATGATGTGACAACATCAAAAGACAGGCCTTTCCCAGATGCAAATTTTGACTTCCCAGTGTAGATTTTGAAGTCAATGGTGTAGCCGTTGACATCAGCTAACACAAAAAGTTTTATGCCCCACTTAGTAGGCTTGGCCTTCATATATTGCTTGAAGGATATCCTGGCTTTGGTGGCAATCATCCTCTCATCAACAGAAATGTGCTGTCTAGGATGGTAAATAGACATGCACCTGTTCCTCATAATGTCCAATAGTGGTTGCACTCTGTGGAGACAGTCATATTCCTCTGTGCCCCTTTTCTTGTCATTTTCTGCATCTTCCATTGGATCACTGATGTGCAGATTGCAGGAGATTGCTAAGAAACGATCCCTGGACATCACAGTAGCAGGAAAGGGAACATGAAACAAAGTCTTCTTCCTCCAGAAGTCCCTCACTTTTGGTAGATCCATCACACCCATGTAGAGAAGCAGACCTATGTACTTCTTCATTTCTTCAGGGTATACATCAGCCCATGTGAATTTCCTACCCCTCTCCAGATTTCTCACCGCATTCTTGTTTGTGTTTGCACACAAGATGTTTATGACCTCTTCGTCAAAATATTGACTGAAAATATCAAGTGGAGACTTTTTTCCAAATGTGAGTGGAGGCTGCACTCCAGGTATTCTTTTAGGAGTAAACCTTGGAATATTGGGCACTATATCAGGATCTGCATCTGTGTTCCATCTACCATCATGTGATACTGGTGAGAGGCTACGTGATTCCTCAAGGCCATGAATGCGCCCCCGGCTACGGCTGCGACCACTGCTATGGCTGCGACCAC